CATTAACAACTCCTTGTATAAATTCGCCTTGATCAAAATGATGTGTTTGTTGTAATACGAATTCACCTTGTTTACAACAAACACATAATTTGACGTTTGTACGTCGATGTTCAGGCACGAAAACTTTTGTTGCGGCAACACGAAGCTTGTAGGGAAGAGAGCGACGAGGAAAAGGGACGGGTACCAAGTTGCTGGTACTCGAGCAACACGCTTTGTGCTCTCGTTCGAGTAATTCAAGTTGGCTGTTCACAGCTGACAACAACAATTGCGTACAAAAGAGTTGCTGTGTGTGAATGCAAAGGGCAACACAAAAAGAGAAATCGCCGATAATAAGCAACTCGAGTTTTCGTGTCTGAACACAGACTACAACAGTATAAATCAGTGTTGCCACTTTACCACAAGTACCACATATGTTAAAAAGCTACCACAATTTTACTGAAATAAAATTATTAACCTTATTTGAAAAATGTTTTTTTTCATAAAAGTTGAACAGTTTATTTTCTCTCAATATGTATTTAACTGTCAAGAAAATTTATTGTGAATATTGTATTAGATGAAGAGCTGAAGGTCCTGCCATTTCAAAATTTCTATTGCGTGCGTGAAGGATAATCTGCACTTACATGAGGTGATTTTCTTAGCGATTCGACATCGCCTGAGAATACGCCTGTGATGTTGCTTACCAACAGTACTTCCACAGACAACAAAAGTTTAACGAGTGCAGTGAATGTTTCAGTGAGTTTAAATTTTAACAAACCAGAAAAATACTATTTATATTTGATATTGTACGATAAAAGCAACTGAAAACCGATTATGTTTGTACACACCGACCAGCGGGAATATAATGGCCCTTATTTATTTGCAAACTCGTCTTTTATAGAAATCTACAAACGGTACAATAGCGTGATTTGTTAACGTTAGATTTTATGATGTTTACAGGTTCAAGAATATTATATATAAAGATGGAAGTATGTATGTATGTATGCAAAACATAAATAATCGAATGACACTTAAGGCTAGTTCAGAGTGCAGCCGCGAACGACACTAAAGGTTCGTGCAGAGTGCAGACGATAAAGCTGGTCGTTGCCACTTAATCGCGTACATCCTCCCCGGCTAAGTCCTCTGGATTTAGAATGCCTTCGTGGGCTTGAAGGATACGGCATACTCGTTGGACTGGGCGCTGACACAAATTTTTGCGACAGAAGCCTCTTTCGAATGTGCAGGATGCGATGGTGACTACGCGCACCAGCCCGTCACTCCCCGGATGCACTGCTGTAATGCGACCGATGCGCCATCGAGATGGAGGAATCTGCTCTTGCTGGATGGCCACCACGTCACCAACTTGTAGATTTGGCGTAGGTCGGGCCCACTTGCTACGAGCCTGCAGCTGGACCAAGTATTCCTCCTTCCAACGGTGCCAAAAATGTTGCAACATGCGTTGTAGTCGTTGGTAGTACTTTAGCCGATTGTCCGGTGCTTCCGGAACGGGGGCCTATGGACGAGAATTCAATGGGCGGCCGATGAGGAAGTCTCCGGGTGATAGCGCGACGCCGCCTTCGGGATCGTCTTGAAGAGCGATGAGGGGTCTCGAGTTGAGACATGCCTCAATGCGTACCAGCAGGGTACTGAGTTGGATGAACGGGAGAACAGCGTCACCAATGACGCGCTTGAGATGCTTCTTGGCCGAACGCACTGCAGGCTCCCATAAGCCTCCTTGATGAGGAGCGGAAGGAGTTATGAAGTGCCAGCGGACGCCTGCATCAGACAGTTGTTGCTTGGAATAAGTGTTGTGCCAGTCGACCAGGTCAGTTTGAAGTTGACGGTTTGCCCCCACAAATTGGGTGCCATTGTCGCTATAGAGATTGGTGCAATATCCTCTACGACTCACAAATCGATCAAAGACGTCCAGAAATGCTCGGGTGCTCAGGTCTTCCGCCATTTCTATGTGCACTGCCTTGGCACACATGCATATGAAGATCGCAGCATACGTCTTGGTGGTGGTGGTAGAACGTTTACCACCATGGCGGACGAGGAATGGTCCGGCGTAATCCAACCCAGCGTTGGAAAAGGGAGGCGCAACCATTACTCGAGAGCGAGGTAGATCAGCCATTTGTTGTTGTTGCATTGCTCTTTGGTGTAACTTGCAGGTCTTACACTGATGTAGGCACCGCTTGACCAAGACTCTAGCGTGCACAATCCAGAGATCCCGTCGGAGGTACTGAGGCATCTCCCTAATGCCGCCGTGCATTGTAATCCTGTGTGCGTTGCGGAC